GTCATTTTAATTAAAAACAGTACGTGTTAATAAAGGTGTTTCATAATGGGGCATTAAGTTACTTACTTTTTTCCCTTATGCATTTGAATCAATTTGTCATACACATCCAGTCCTAATTTCTTGCAGGCTTTCCATCTTCGGGCTTCAACTCTCTTACTTTCTAGCTTCTCACTTGGCATTATAATATCCAAATCATCAACATCAATGCAACTATCTGATATCTTTTCATTCCCTTTAATTTTGTCAACTTGTTCCTGGATTTCAACTTGTTTCAATTTTTTCTTTTCTCCATGTTTTTTCCTATTATACTCATAATCTTCATCTCTCTTTCTTTTTCGTTCTTTCCTTTTGATTTTTCTCACCATCGATGTTTGTTTTGTACCTTCGGTGGCCTGAGATTTTGGTAGAGTTCGTAGGTACCTTTGTGTAACAGCATGCACAACCATATCAACTACAACATTATGCAGGAAATTGTTCTCTTCTTCTAATTCGGACACCCTTGATGTCAGTGTTTTAATTTGATCTTCTTGTGTTTCTTTGTTTTTCTCCAAGAGATCAACTAAAACTTTCAATTCTGAAATTTGGTTGTCCCTGTCAACTAGTTTCACGCATATATTTCAATCTCTTTCAAATCTTCCTCCCTTTAGTTGCCCCCAATATTCTTGATGACCGTTCAAAGTGCTTTGTTCTCCACAGTCAGCATTTGGATAGTAAATTTTTGCACCTCATTTTCAACAATCAATCCAAACGAACCTTCATTGTCATGGGAAGGTTGTTGTGACTTTTCCTCTCGTGTTACCACTTCATCTGGTTCCATAAATGCAAATTCTCGAATGACCACATCGACAAACGCATCAAACTGTTGGACATTTTGAGTCTCCTTTTGGATAGGATGATCGTTTGTAGGAACATGAACTACATCATCACTTTCCTGGACATCTTCATTAACAAAAATATGATTATCAATAGCTAGATTAGGTGCATCACCTGCGTATTCCAATTCTGAATTTAAAGCAATCTTACTGACAATAGTGTTTTGTTGTGGAACCTCCAAACTAGCCAGCACATTCTTGAAATTTTTTCGAATTACTTTTATTAAGGTCTTCTCACCAAGTGTTTTCTTGAGAAATCTTTGGAAAACCTGACAACATGATTTGTATCGTGAAAAATATGTACCCAATAAATGCTCATCTCATTTGAATCTAATGACTGTGAATTACACAGTAACATCCATAGTAACATTAATTGCACAGTAACATTCACAGTAACATCCACATTAACAACAATTTTCTATAGTGACATTGATCACAAAATTAACATTGTCATGCAATTAACCAATTGTCAAAATTAATAGAAATACGCTAAACCAAATTTTTTATAACATCTGATCATCTGCGATATTGGACAATGTGTTTTGTGCGAGAGACATTCAAGGTTTTCTTAAATCCCATTTCATCTAACATGGGAAAGCATCCACCTGGTCAGCTACAACAAGAGATGTCTGTTCACATATCCAATACTGCAAATTAGAGTTAGTTACATTAGTTAGAACATATAATGTTTAATGATTATAAAAAAAAATTCATAAAAATTAGCAATAAAAAACTTACAGGTAATAGTAGTACACAACCAGTTACTGCACTCGATGTGTCAATCTTCAACCGTATAGAATTAATCATTGCATCAATTGCTGTTTGACACCAGTCATATCTTTTGCTTTCATCTAAATTTTCAATGTATGAGACATACCCTCATCCAATTATTTGCCCCATATTTGTAATCAGTAATGTCACTAAGACATATAAAGAAAATAACCTAGTAAAGTCTTCACAATCTTTCTTACCATCACCCATTGCAGCATCCTCCAACCTGCTTTTTATAATTGGTGCATTCAATCTTTGGGTGTTATTGAATCTCCTCCTTACAAAAGGTGACATTTTCTTTGCACTTTAGGGGGGGGGGGAGGGGAAATAATTAGATCCACGCCATCTTCTATACCAAAAATGAGGGATATATCAGTCTTCCATATCTTTAAATTTTTTCCACCAATTCTAAATCTGGATATTTCAACATCAAACGTGTTAATGATGTTCACAATACTTTTGTCATTCTTCTTGAACTATTCCTTATCAACTTCAGATGTTGATATTGTATGATACGAATACCAAAATGGTGTTCTCCTCAACTGTTATTCGTGAACATCTTTGATGTTTAGGTAACTAATAACCTTCATCATTGGCAACAAGTTGGACCTGAATTGGTGAAATGAGGATGTTTTTGGAGCCACCAACCTATAATATGACAGTGAATTATCAATAACTGAATAAAATATATTAACATGACACAAATTCACTTAACTTAATGGATATACAACAATTAACAAAAAAATATGTGCAAATATAACATGAACAGTAACACCAAAGTTGTTGATGTAAACACAGTAACAACATCTTAGTAACATGATCATAGTAACATTAATTTCTTAACTGAATCCCAGTGAGAAGGAAATCAGTTGAATTGAAGATTGCACAATGAAGATTGCAAGCATTTCAAATAGTAACAGACAAGTAATATCAATTTTGGCTTTACACTAGGAAATGCAAAGCTTGAGAGATCTATGGTGTAACATATACCTTTAATTCTCAAAGAAAAATCAAAGGATTGTGATTATTAACACATTCATAGTAGCGTCAATTCACAGTAACATCCACAGTAACATCAAGGAATCTCAAACATTGAAATTATGAAACACATATTGTAGTTAACACACAGTAACATGATGTATTTTCACAGCTATAAAATCAATTACTAATTGATTGTCTGTAACAACAAAGAAATCAATTCCACTTTTAATTCGTAATAATGAATCTCATTTTTAAATTTAGGAATCCAAAACAAAGAACATCAAATTCAAGATATCGAATTTTCCATAATACATTTTTGGAAAGTGCTTTAACAGTAACAAGAGGAATTCCACAGAAACCACAACAATGAATTTCGAAAGTATTACAAAACGAAATAAAAAAAAAAAATCATAATACCTAACTCTTCAATATAGTAACAAGGAATCACAATTTTATTGTCAAAAAAAAAAAAAAACTATGGACAGTATGAATGATATAGTTTGTAAATGTTGTTTTAAAACCCTAAAACAAACATCAAAGATCATGAAAAATCACATACCTCTCAAGTTTTTTAAGAATTCCAAAGTTTTGTGAAGATTTCCTGAATGCCGAGACCAATTGTAACTTTCGCCAATGAAACTTGAAGTGTAAAACCGATTTTCGGTCTTATGGTTTGAAACCAATTTGAAATTTGAATTGATTCGGTTTGGGTAATGGCGGTTTATGTTTTTCGGAGAAGAAAAATGAGAAAGATTTGAGGAATATTGCCGGATTTGTAGCCTAGAATGAAGGGGAAGTTACTGGGTTCCTAGTCGGCAACGAAAAGTTTCTCCATCTGGTTTAGAAATGGCAAGTTACACGCCGTTTGAGGTTTTTTAATAATTAAGGGTATAATAGTAAAATTCACAAAAAATAGACTTGAAACCAAATAAGTTTCCTTACAGGACTTATCTTCAAACAAGTCCATCTAGAGGGACTGGCCTCCAAATTTCCCTAATTTTTACCATTTTTTTGAGTACCACAAATATGATAAAAATAACTATAAATGTGATAAATAGAGGTATGATACCCATTTTTTTTTCGAGTACCATAGTCAACCCTTGGATTAAATAGGCCTCCATCAGTCTAGTAAATAATCACAACTTTAATCATTGGCCATTATTAGGGGATCATTGATTAATTTTATACCAAAGAGTTTAGAATGTTAAGCATGGGAGTCGAGCGACCACTTTAGCACACTGCCTATAAGGATCCTAGTGGTCATACCTAATGTTAATCATGTTATTTAGGTAGTAGGAGTCATAGGCAGATAAAATTGTCCCATCAAGGTCAAATAGATCAATTAGATCTTGTTAAAAAAAATAGTAGCTAGCTAGATTGCCAAAGAATTTATGAGAAGCTTGCCAAAGTTATCCAATAGCATCTAGACAAAATTCAACAGGGCATGTTAACAAGCGTAGGGACGAAACAATATAGATTGAGAACTTTCATATTAAGGGTGATTTTTCAATCCTTTTAAGTGGAAATTAACCTCCGATCCACCATATATATCCATCGATGGCTACGAATTTAGAAAACATCAATAGCAAAAGTCGTAGAACTTATGTCCTGGTTGTAATTATTTTACAAGTATATTCTTTTAAGGAGAAAACAGACTTGTAAAATAGTATATACTTATTCTTATTATTGTATTTGCGTTAAATGCTACAAGAAGGGAGCAAGTTCTGAAAAGAAAATAGTAAAAAGAAAAATAGATATTAACAAACGTGTGATATTTAAAAAAGTACTAAAAAATAACAAAAATACTTAAAAAGGTTACAGAATGGTATCCTGGTAAACATGAATAGGTATATAAGCACAATCATTCTTTACATGAATGTTTTGATAACAATAGGTAAATGTAGAATTTTGGTAATGTGCATATGTTAAATTTGGGCTATATTTGAGTTGGGTTCTCGACTTCTTTGGTTTTAACCCAAATCAATAAATTTGGATTCAACCCAAGTGAAACTTGAATCTGATAGTCAAATTTGGGTTCAACTCGAGTGTAACACAAATTCTAGTATGAATGGTGCAACTTGAGAACCAAATCCAATTTCAATTGTATTTTAACTCGACTGCTAACCTAGTTTTAAAATTTACATGGACAATACTCGGATTGAAGGGTCTAGGTTAAATTCGAGTTCGAGTTGAACTCGGGTTGACAGTTTGATATATATTGGGTTGTAATCAAGTTGACTTGTCAACCCGCCAAACTCATTTGAGTTGCAATTTAAATTTCTAGACAAAGCCACAAACACAAAAGGAAAGGAAAGAAAAGAATAGTTATCAATGGGTGGAAACAATTTACAAAACTTGCAGTAATGCAATCTTTACCTTCTCTTGAGAGGGTCCAGTTATTGTCTTGGCCAAGAGCCCAGAAAAAATATCCACCCAAATTCCGTGACCGGGCAAACCGGGTCTTCAGCTTCAGGGATTCGACATCATCATACCCGATCCATGAATCTCCAGCATAAGAATAAAAGGAAACAGTTTGTTCATCAAACTTAACAGTGGCATTATTCTCACTGTTATAATCCACCACTTGAGAATAAATCAATATGCCATCCCCAGGCCCAACACCCACGACGGGTGCTCCGATTCCATTAACATTCGGGTCTTGGAGCTTCCATGTCCTGCCATACAATGGTAGTCCCATGACGACCTTTTTGGGTGGTACCCCGGCTTGAATCCATGACTCGATTCCATACTTAGTGCTAATATTGCTAGTAGGGTCATACAGAGCCGAGTGCTCACCCATGACTGAGTCCCACGACCCGCGATAATCGAAGCACATTAGACTAATCCAATTTATATATTTGCCAATAGCGTGACCAAGGTATGCCCGCAATTCACCGAAAAGGTAATTTTTGAAGTATAATAAACAGCGGAAGTTAGTAAAAGCTGAGTTTATTTGTAGCCTTAGCATCATTTTGAAGTGCCTCTTGCCATTGCTTGAATAATAAACCAAGGTTTCACATGTCTCGGTCATTTGCTGGGAACTCCCAATCAAGGTCAACACCATCAAACCCGTATTTTCTAGCAAATTCGATTGTGGAATTAATAAAAATGGCACGAGTTGATTCGCTACTTACCATCTTAGAGAACACATTCGGGTCATTACCTCCTCCTCCGATGGATACAAGAGTTTTGACGGGTGGGTTTAGGGCATTGAGCGCCACCATGAACTCAATGAGCTTTTCTTGGTCTAATGGTGTAATATTAAGTTTGTAAGTATTCGGATCAGGTAAGAGGAAGGCGTAGTAAATATGTGTGAAATACAACGTGTCAATAGATGACGCGGGGAATCCAGTAAACGATGGCCAATAAGCCGCTTTGATCCCCTGAGCTGTAAGAATTGGAGCTGATGGATGAGAATTAGAAGTGGTCACGGGTTCAGATATCGAGCGAGAAACCGGAGAAGGCACAAGAAAGTTGGGAGGCATTGCTGAAGAGATTGAAGCACAATTATCTATGACTGTATAAAAGACCACAAGAAAGAGTGGTAAAGGGATTTTTAGGCTCGCCATTGTTAGAGAGGTGAAGCTCAGAAACTGCAATGGCAGTGAGATCATTTGAATACATATATATATATATAGGGTTCCCAAACTATACATACATACATGCATACATTCTTCGTTACATGATTGTTGTTTTGGAACATTGTGTTCTTGCTCTTTAACTTAATATTTAAAAGAGCAGTCAAGCTCTTACAACCCTACATCAAAAGGAAAGCACTAGACTATATTACAAACAAGTAATATTTGATCTTCTATCCTTCAAACTTTGAATCATTCCATGGATCTTTCTCCTGTTTTTCTCTTTAGATCAGAGATCCCTTTTAAAAAGATCATTATCAAAGGAATTACTAAGATCTTCTTCTAACTCCTCAACCTTGCCTTCTCCTCCATATGGGAAGTGTCAATTCCTCTATCTTTTTCAAGTTGGCAATTAGTTGGACTCCTAAGCTCTGGAAGAGGGCTCGAGCAAAGAATATGAAAATGATTTGAGGATGATTCTCCTCTGCTAATGTTCTTTGTTAGGTTCATTGATTTCCTCTAAGCATAAGCCTAATTGAACGGAGGGTTATATTTACTTCTATTTGTTACTTATTTAAGTTGAACAAAGTGTAATCTTACCATTACAAAGTTAAAGGTCTTGAGTTGGAAGTTGTTACACGATTATTCTCAATGATTATCCTATTAATTATGTATTCACAGCATTTAAGACGGGGAATTATATGTTCTTAGACAAATTAGTTGGGTGTTCTAAGAGAATCGGATACATCATAGTTCATTAAAAAAAGAAAAGAAAATCATACTTTTCATCTAAATTTTAATTAGAGTTAAGCTCATAATTGAAATGTGAAATTTATCACTTCTTTTACAACTTGTGGTTTTTTCAGAAAAATGCCATATAATCAGGAAATAGAATATGAATTAGTTATTTCAAAAAATAAATATTTTTTATTAACTACCAACTCTTCTAAAAGATTAAACTAGGCAACATAAGTATTAATTTAACAATTTTAGAGTTAGCCGTCGCCTCTTCTTTTAAATTTCGAACTCACAAATATATAGAGGAGCATGGTGTTCTTGCCACCTTCTTTTAAACTATTACTAATTTGTTAGACACTGTTACAAGAGAGAAAAAAAACAAAGTTCAAACTCATGATCTTAAGGTCTAAAAGCAGAGGGAATAGCCTTTAGACAGACTATTAACCTTTTCTTTTAAACTATTGAATGCCAACTTTAAATCAAAAGGTCTTTATCATGAAAAGAGTATGGTTCAAGTCCTCGTTGGGTTCATTAAGAAGTCATACAAAAACTTGTAAAAAGATGGAGACAAAAAAGGGACCAAATGTTACTGTTTTTTGGATAAGTTTAGGCCTGGCAGAGTTGATGGGTGGTTTTGGTTGCCATTTTGGACAGTAAATGTTTTAGTACTGTTCTGTTTTCTAACTGAGGGCAAGTCATATAGGATATAGCTGACAGATGTATCATTAACCAGTTTTTTTTTCTTTCTATTTTACAAGCATAACATTTTTCTAACAATAAAAATAAAATTGATCTGAAATTATTGTCCCCTATAACCAGAACAAAAAGTTCTTAAAATTATTTTTTTGAGAAGAGTTGTTTATTTGGATTGAATTATTTGTAAATAGTTAGATAAGTAAATTGATAAAAAACCGAAGAAAAAAAAATAATGAGTAGTAAAGCGGTATAGAAAATAGAAATACAAAAAAAATAAAGGGATAAAAAAATAGGGAATTAGTAAAACAATATATTTGGTTAGTAATGAAAAGTAGAAGGAAGTAAAAGAGCATATGATCTATCCTACAAATTCTATCCTCTAAGTACTAAATTGGGCTTAAAAAGAAAAAGAAAGTTAATATGTATGTTCTAAAAAGTACGAGGGATAAAAAGCCATTATTTTTACTTTTCATCCTTTCAAACAATCATAAAGGACATAAATAAAGTTTTATTCCTTGAAAATAAAAAGTAAATCCTTTGTACTTTTTGAGAAACATTTGCATGTTCTATTCTATCATCTATTGACATAAAACTCAAATAAAATTTCAATTTTTTGAAAAAAATAGTAACTAATATAAAATATATCAAAAAACTCAATTCAACACTTATTTGTATACAAATATAAAATCTATTATAATAAACTAAAAAATCAAATAAAAGTCAAACTATAATGGACACAATATCTTCTATTTTAAATTGAGGTAATTTGATTGTTTGATAAATTTTGTTAATTTCGTAACTAATAAGGGGTTTAAGTGTTACACACCTACAAACTTTAAGAAGTTTGAGTGCAATTTATTAATGGATATACTAACGGGTTCAAGTGTAACGCTTGTACAAATTTTAGAGGATTTGTGAATAATATTTTAAATGTTAGGGGTTTAAGTGATTAAGTGACAAATTTCATCTGGTTTGGGTGTAATTTTTCTTATATTTTAATTTAATTGAGAGTCTGATATGAAAATTTTAATATTTTAGAATAAAAATTTGGGGTAAATTATACTATGAATGATTCAAATTTTTTTATTTTGTATGTTCAAAGATTAAATTTTTTATATTATTTTATGAATTTATAAATGTTATAATGTGGTCCTTTACTTAACTCCTGTTGCTTATTCCATCAAAATCTATCCAATTAATGTTAATGAAATGAATATATTGTGATATTTTTAATACATTAAGGGTATAATATAAAAAAATTTAATGTTTTAGGGTACAAAATGAGATTCTACCAGTAATTTGAGAATACAATGACGTTCGAGGTGCAAAGTGTCATTTGCTTCTGAATTTATCCCTCCGCCCAAATTTTTTTTTTTTGGTAGGGGCAAATAGCTGTTTCTACCCTAAAAGATTGAAAATAATTTAATTTATACCCTCAAAGATCAATTATTGTAAATTATACCTTCAATTAAATTAATTAATAGCAATGTGATCCAACTATAACGTTCGTTACAATTTTCATCAAATTGTCAGCCACGTTAGATGCACGTGATGACTTTTGTCAGATTATGACGCTTCTCTTTTTTCACATGCTTCTTACATGCTTTTCAATCCAATAAAAATCATCATGAACATTAAGGTTGAGATTGCAATTTTCGTAAAATTGATAGACACGTGAAATGCACATGATGATTTTTGTTAAATTATGACCCTTCCCATTTTAACATACATCTCATGTGATTGTCAATTTGATAAAAATTGCAATAATGTTATAATTGGGGTCACATTACTACAAATTAATTTACTTGATAATGTAATTTAAAATAATTAGTCTTTGACGGTATAAATTAAGAATTGTTTACTATTTCGGGGTGAAACTGCCATTTTCCCCTATTTTTTTTTTTGGTAATTATCAGATACCGACGGCCGAACCCATATGAGACAACAGAACTTTTCCTTCGATTTCAAGTCTCTCTCTCTCTTTTTTTCTCTCTCTCGATTAAGTTGCTTCAAAACTACTCGATCTGCTCTCTGCAAGGTAGTCTAATCATTTGTCAATGGTCCAAACAAAGGAGAATTTTTGAAATCGGACGAAGCAACTCTTCCTCTATCCGTCTCTCTCCTCCTTGTGCGTGTGCGTAAAACATGGATCCACCGAGCTCTTGGGACTCCTTGAGGAAACAGGTATGATTTGCCAATATACAAATGTATGCACACCTTTTTTATATTTAGTGGATATATGTTTGCACTTTTTTATGGCCTCTGGTGTAATAAATTTCAATTCAATCCATCCACGAACTTCTAGTTTACGATCCTTCTGTATCTTGCAATCTCTCTCTATACCTATCTGTTGATTGACTAGATCAATTATGTCTCTTTTAATGATTTTGAATTTGTTGCATCGACTTTTTCTTTGGGTAATTTATCGGAAATAATCTAGCTATGCTTAGAATTTGGGTTTATTGAAGATGTATAAACTTGGAAATATTAGATTTAGATGTTTGATCCGAATGATCAAACTGCGTTAATGTTTCTGCTGAGATATATCTAGCAATGATCTAAAAATTATGAATAAGAATGCTGAAACTGAATTCCATGGTTGGGGTAGAGAGATGGCCAATGTCATTAGAATTTCTTTTGAAGCAACAAAGATTGTTCTAGCTCCAAAACAAAGAAAAAGAAAGGAAAAACAACAACAAAGATTTACTCAATTGGTATGAGCATTTCCCACCAATGTTTTTTTTCCCTGTGAAAACCTTGTTTTGGATATGCATTTCAAAATGTACTTGGAGGCCATTTTTTGGAATAATGGGAGAATGATGGTCATTTTGTTTTGAGATGAAAGAGAAGAACAAAATAATCACATCTCTTGAGATAGATTTGAGAGTGAGATATTTGTGATGTATAACATTGTTCTTCGATTTATTTTGTAGAGCAATCCTACTCTTCACCGAAAACTTTCTTCAAACCTTGTTTTCAATGCACATTTCGAGTGTTCTTGGAGGCAATTTTGAGAATAATGGGAGAATGATGGCCATTTTGTTTTGAGATGAAAGAGGAGAACAAAGTAGTCGCATCTACAGGGATAGATTTGAGAATGAGTTATCTGTGATGTATAGCAGTGCTCTTCATTATCTTTTAGAGCAATGCTACCCTGCATGGAAAACTTTCTTTACGGAAATACTGAATGTCATGAGGGCTTATAGACTTTTTACTTCAAGCTGAAAGGACCTTCATTTTCCTTTCTTTTGAAAAATGCCATTTCCATATAGAAATCACCATTATCTTGTTAGGCAATTCATGATGAGGTTAGATATGATGTTTTAGATTGTGTTTTCACCTATATTCCAACAGAGTACATTGCTCTTCTTTAACAACCAGCTTCACGAAAACTGTGAATTTGATGCAGAATATATCTTTCTTTTCATTTTAAAGTCCACGTACCATTAGTTATTTCTCTTCTTTGAACATATTTGTTTTTTCCATTTCGATTGAAATTCAATTGACCAACACCATTATTTTTTACCTTGCCATTGTCACATTATGCCAATGATTTCAAGGTGGGATATTTTGTGCACATTTTTTATATCATATATCAACATATTTAGTATAAATCATAACAGCTTATTCATTTTTTTATTCTTATTCATTCATGCTCTCATGTTGATGTATCAAGGCAAGGAAGGTTGAAGCAATGCTGGATGAGCAGATGCATTTATATCGTAAACAAGTTGCGACCAAAGTTGATGGTAGCAAGGATAATGATCTTGAATCTGGAATAGATCAATTACTTAAACAGCTTCAGCAAGTAAATTCTCAAATGCAAGCTTGGGTATCATCTGGAGGTTCAGAAATATTTTCTCATACATTGACTCGCCATCAGGAAATTCTACAAGATATTTCTCAAGTAATATTTCTTTTAGCTGTTCATGTTTTTGTTCATCGAGAACTTCATTGCAACAAAAATTTGTAGATGCTGTAGGCACCTATATAAGACCATAGTTGCTATCACTCATGAATAAATTATTCTCAGGTAAACCTAATACGAAAGTTGTTTTAAAACTATATATCGATGAAGTGGCCTTCCTTGACTAATTCATGAAAATTTCACAATCGCCATAATTTCCTGCGAAACTTGACTGGCGTGTTAGGACCTTTCATGCACTCCATAGGCATAAAAAGAAGCACAAGCCTCACACCGGATTCAAGCTCTTTAAAATATCCTTTCACTATCCAGTCCCTATTTAGTCCACCAGCCAAGCCTAGTGAACCGTTCAATCCAACTTTGAAGTCAAAGAAAGCTTTTTGTTAATAAGTCGAAGTTTGCCGGCCATTAATCAAATGAAGTCGTTAAAAGATTGAGAGACCACCCGGTTACTCCTCTCCTCGAAAGTTGGAGCACTTGGGCATTGAAATCCAACATAGACATACCCCAAGCAATCGGGCAAGAAATCTCATTTTCACACTTGCTTGCTAGTGAGCATAGTCTCTTTGAAGTGTGAAACTCATTGAGAGCAAGAAAAGACTTGCCTCAGAGTTTCAATTCGATTTGTTTATCTAAATTTCTATAGAGTTTACAAGGCACACAATAAGAATAAGAGCAATAGAGACTTCATAAGGGACCATTTGAGATGCAGATCATAATTCTCGTGCAAAGATATATTTTGAATATAGAACAGCGAAAGTTCTTAAAAATTTATGGTATTCTCAGAACTGACCCAACTTACTCTGGCCTTGAGTCCTTCCTTTCTATTCTTCAGTAAGTAGACTGTAGGAGCTTTTTTTTTTTTTTTGGGGGGGGTTTTATAATAAAATATATTTTATATTTTTATAGTTATCTAATGATTACTTTTTAATTTCTAGCAAGTTATTTAATAACAATTT